AGTTCAGTGGGTTTGCCAGCCTCTGCCCCAAGAGCCATAACTTCTGATGGTCTGACCTTTTCAAAGATAGACGGTCCACTTTGTTGCTATGGCTCTGGAGATTGATAACAAGCCAAGCCACCTAGGAGTCTCCTTATATTACCCTTTCTCAAATTTAAAAAAAAAAAAAAACCTGGAGAGATGGCTCAGTTGTTAAGAGCTCATATTGCTCTCACAGAGGACTTGAGTTTGGTTCCCAGCACCTTATCAAGCAACTCAAAACTGCCTGTAACTCCACCGCCAGGGAATCCAATGACTTTGACCTTTGTGGATATTGCACTAACATGCACATACCCACATAGAGACACATACACACACACAATTAAAAGTAATAAAAATAATTTTTTTTAAAGGTTGGAGAAAGGAAGTTGGAGAGATGGCTCTGCGGTTAAGAGCACTGACTATTCTTACAGGGTATCTGATGCCCTCTCTTGTCCTCCTCCGGCACTGCATGACATAGGTGCACTGACACACATGCAGGCAATACACTCATACAGATTGAAAGTAAATATATTTTGTTTGTTTGTTTTTGTTTTGTTTGGGGGTTTTTTTTGTTTTGTTTTGTTTTTTGTTTTTTTTTTTTTTTTTTGGTCTTTTTGAGACAGGGTCTCCCTGTAGCCCCAGCTGTCCTGGAACTCACTATGTAGACCAGGCTGGCCTTGAACTCACAGAGATACACCTGCCTCTGCCTCCCAAGTGCTGGGACTACAGGCGTGCACCACCCCACCCAGCTTTTTTTTTTTTTTTTTTTAAGGTTGGGAATATAGTTCAGTGGTAGAGCAGTTGCACAGCATGTATGAAGTCCTGGGTTCAATCCCCAGAACCAGGGAAAAAAGGAGAGAGCAAAAAATGAGTCTGGGCCGGGCATGGTGGCACACGCTTTTAATCCTAGCACTTGAGAGGTAGAGGTAGAGGTAAGCAGATCTCTGTGAGTTCAAGGCCAGCCTCATCTATATAGCAAGTTCCAGACCAGCTGGAACTACAAAAAACAAAACCAAAAAAACATGGTGATGAGATGGGGAGGCATGGCAGGAGGCAGCCAGAGCAGAGCACTCATTTTCAAGCAGGCACAGGAAGCAGAGAAACACACTCCAAATGGGACTTAGCTATGAACTCTCAAAGCCCACCCCTCAGTGGCGTGCATCCTCCAGCAAGGCCATGTCTTTCAGGGATTCCAAGACACCCCTCCCCAACAGCACCACCAACTGACCACGTGTTCAAGTACTTGAGCCTGTGGGGGATATTTCTCATTAAAACCACCACATTCCACTCCCTGGCCCCATTGGCTTATGGCCATATCATAATGCAATTAATTTAAACCAACCTTAAAAGTCTCCATAGTTGCCTGCCGTGGTGGTGCACGCCTTTAATCCCAGCACTCTGGAGGCAGAGGTAGGCAGATCGCTGAGTACAAGGCCAGCTTGGTCTACATAGTGAGTTCCAGGCCAGCTGGGGCTATAGGGAGACCTTGTCTCAAAAAGACCAAAAACAAAAAGTCCCCATAGTCTTTAACAGTCTCAATACTATTCAAAATTCCAGAGTCCAAAATCTATTCTGAGACACAAGGCAATCTCTTAGCCATAAGCCCCTATAAAATCAAAAAGCAAACTACATCCAACATACAATGGCACAGAAGACACATCTCCATTCCAACAGGGAGGATAGGAAGAAGCATAATGAGAAAATACCTGACCAAAGCAAGACCATCAGGGCAAGCACCAAATCCTGTGGCTCCATGTCTGATGTCCCAGACTTCAGCACCAGATGAACAACACTGCCAAGTTCAGCTGCCAGCTTGGAATGGGCCTTGACTTCCTTCACCCACATTACCAGCAGCTTTCATATGTGTGGTTTTCCTGGAGCAGGAAATTCCCTAGGCCCTTTGCTTTCTCAAATTGGAAGCTTAGCTGGGTGGAGTTTTGCCCTGAGGCTCCTCTTTCCATTGTTCAAATGCAAATTTGGAGGCCTCTCCTTAATGGTTCCAATCTCCTAATAATGGGAGTGTTTGTTCTAGGACACACTTTGGCTACCACTTTAAACTTCCAAACCTTTAATCCAGGTTTGCTGGCACATGCCTTTAATGCCAGCACTTGGGAGGCAGAGGCAGGTGGAGCTCTGTGACTTTGATTGGGAGGCAAAAGCTGGTGGGGATCTGTGACTTTGAGTCCAGGCTGGTCTACATAGCAAGTTCCAGGCCAGCTGGGGCTACAAGGAAATGCCATCAAAGTACAAAAAAAAAAAAGAAGAAAAAAAGAAAAGCTTCCTAGCCGTCTTCTCCAAACTGTACATTTTGTATCTCTCTTTGTCCTATTTGCTCTTTTTTTAAAATATTTTTTTATTTTTATTTTATGTGTATGAGTGTATTGCCTGCATGTATGTGAGTGCACCCATGTCGTGCAATGCCTCAGAGGTCAGAAGAGGGCTTAGGATTCCCCTGGAACTGGAGTTAAGGACAGTTCGTAGCCGCCATGTGGGTGTTAGGAATCCAACCTGAGTCCTCTGCAAGAGCGGTCAGTGCTGTTAACCGCTGAGCCATCTCTCCAGCCCCATGCTCTTTTTTCAATGTAGATCTGATTAATATTCACCACTAGTAACAGATTCAACATTGGGCTGTCTTGAAATTTCCTCCACCAAAGAAATTAGTCCATTATGTTTTAATTTGGCCTCAGGAAAACTAAAAGTTTTGGCTGTGGGTAGAAGGCAGCCAGATGCTTTGCCCAAATATCCCAGTTGCTGTTTAAGTCTTTATTTTCCTCTGGAACTACGTTGGTCTCAGCACTACTTTCTTCAGGTTCCTTCTAAATCAGCCCATTAAGCTCTGCTTACAGCATTCACCAGCTTTTCTAGTCCAAACTTCCAAAGTCTTCCATATTCCTCCAAAACCAACATAGTCACATTCTTCATAGCAACAGCCCACTCTCTGGTACCACCTTATTTATCTTACAGAGATCTTCCTGCTTCTTACAAAGTGCTGCCTCTCAAGCTCTGGGATTAAAGGCGTGTACTGTTGTACCCCATCCACTGGACCCCAAAAAGACCACCGAGGACCCAACACACCAAAATGCAAAAGCAAAGGTTTATGGTTTATTCGGGCTTAAGCTCGGGCTCTCAGACCTCACCAACTCAATGGATCCGTGTTGAGAGCCCAGAGTAAGGGAGAGTGGAGCCTTTTGTAGATTTTAGACAAAGAGAGGAGGGGGATACCGAAGATACATTTTGGTTGGTTCAAGGAGCCCACGTGTGCCAACATAATTTTAAACCAATTGGATGTATAAGATGCAGCCCTGGAAGTTTCTTATTGGTAGGTGCTATTCTCAGGGCTGTGGAATGTGCTGACTGTTACCTGTGGGGCCAGGAGTCTGTTTTTACCTTATAGGGCAGTTTTTATGCTCAGGCTTGCTTAATCTATAGTTTCCTGGGAGAGGGGTGGAGAATAGCAGGCGGGGGTCAGGGCATGCCAGGGTATGTCTAGGCATGTCTAAAGCAGCAGCCAAGCATTTTACAGAAGCTAAAAGA